GAGGGGATGGAGTGAGAGGGGATGGAGTGAGAGGGGATGGAGTGAGAGGGGATGGAATGAGAGGGGATGGAGTGAGAGGGGATGGAATGAGAGGGGATGGAATGAGAGGGGATGGAGTGAGAGGGGATGGAGTGAGAGGGGATGGAGTGAGAGGGGATGGAATGAGAGGGGATGGAGTGAGAGGGGATGGAGTGAGAGGGGCTGCTCTCGTGCAAGGGCTCGGGCTGTTGTGGAGGATTGCAGTGGTGCAAACTGCAGCCTCCATGTGATGCCCTGTGCGAGGCCTCGTGCAAAGGGGCCAGCTGCTTGTGAGCGCCCTCGTGCAAAGCTGCCCTCGTGCAAGGGCTTGCACACACATGGAAGGCTGCAGTCGTGCATTCTGCAAGCTCTTGTGCAAAAGCCACGAGGCGCTGGTGAGAATCCTCGTGCAAGGAGCCTCACAAGGGCCAACCACAGCTCTGAGCCCCCCTGTGCAAAGCCCACCCCCATGCAAAGCCCCCCGTGCAACAGAGCCCTCGTGCAATAAAGCCTCGTGCACTCACCAGCGTCAGGGGGGAGGTAGAAGGTGCTGACGGCCAGCATGGTGAGCAGCACGGAGGGCACGAGGACGTTGATGATGTAGAAGAGCGGCTTGCGGCGGATCACCAGGATGAAGGTGACGTCCTCGTGCAAACCCTGGTGCTGCAGCGCCGCGCCGTGCACGATTTCCCACTGCCCGTTCTCTGCGGGGCACACAGAGCCGCCGTCTTGTGCAAGGCCTCGTGCAACACCCCCTCGTGCAACACCCCCTCGTGCAAGGCCCTGTGCCAGGCTGGGTGCAAAGAGCCGCCCTCGTGCAAAGCTCCTCGTGCAAAACCCAGCGAGGTTTGCTCACCCTCGTGCAAATCTCCTCCTGCAAACGTCCCCGTGCAAAACCGCCTCGTGCAAAACCATGTCGTGCAAATTTCCTCGTGCAAAACCCCTCGTGCAAATTCCCTCGTGCAAAGCCCCCCCGGCGCAGCGCCTCACCCTGGAAGTCGTGCTGCAGCTCCAGCCGCCCCCCCCCCCCCCCGCCCCCCCCCCCCGCAGCCGCAGCCGCAGCTCCGCGGCGCCGGGAGCCAACGAGAGGAAGCGGAGGGAGCAGTTCTGCCAATCGAACGGGAAGTGCGACACCTGCCGGCAATTAGCGGTAATTAATTAACGGCTCGTTAGGGAGCGAACGGGGGCGGCTCTGCCGATCGAAGGGGAAGTGCGACCCCTGCCGGCCACTAGCGGTAATTAACGGCTCATTACGGAGCGAACGGGAACAGCGACCCCTGCCGGCCATTAGCGGTAATTAACGGCTCATTACGGAGCGAACGGGAACAGCGACCCCTGCCGGCCATTAGCGGTAATTAA